CGCGGCCGCGGTGGTACTGACCAGATGGCGCATCTCAGCGGGCACTTCAGTGGGGGTCAGCGACTTGGGCGGTATCATGGCAACGTCGACGACGGTAGACGCGATGGTGATAGTGGCGATGCTGGCGACGATGTTGACGACGACGACGGCGCGGCCAGTGCGGGCGCCGACGCCGGCGACGCTGACGGCGTCCTCGCGTCGGCGGTGAAGGTTTTGGAATGAGTTCGACATGCGCGAGCGGTCGACGGGCGAGAGTGGCCCGCGTGGTATTGTTCGGCGCGGATCGTTCCTCCCCAGCACGCGCGTAAGGGCTTGCGAATGATTTCGGCATGTGGCGCCAGATGCCCGCTCGGCATTTCCGTGAAAATGTTGAACAGCCAATGGTTTTCTTTAGAATTCGCAAGAGCGCGAGCGCGCGCTTCTTTGAAAACTGATGTTGCGAAGCCAGGTGGTTCATGTGTTCTGGGCACTCGGTTTTGAAATCGTTGCGAAACCGAGGGTTTTTGAAGGATTTCGGCACGCGCGCGCGAAGACGCGCGCACGCACTTTGCTTCATTTTTTCCAGGGATGCTCGCGACGGCTCGCGCGCAGGGGCGTTCGAACGATTTCGGCATGCGCGCGCGAAGCCCGTTTGGTAGCAATTTTTGAAAAAAGGTTAAAACACTTATGGTTTCTTCAAGACTTCGCAAGAGCGCGCGCATTTCTTTGTTTTGAAATTCAGTGTTGCGCAACCTTTGTGTTTTTATATGTTTCTGGGACACTCGATTTGCTCCCATTGCGAAGCCCAGGGTTTTTGAAGGATGTCGGCATGCGCGCGACGACGCGCGCGTGTGCGCATCGTCTAATTTCGTGCAAGGGGCTCTTGAAAACAAATAGATGTTGATGAGCGAATGCGCGCGCATCGTATTTTTTTGTCAGGGGATGAGGGGGGGGGATGCCAGCTCGGTTGGGATGGTATGGATTCGTATTTAGGATGGGCGATGGTGCAGAATCGTTTGTAATATGCACATTCCCAGGGGACACCGATAAGTCCGGCCTCAGGAGGGTGGTGGAGTCTTTAAACACGAAAAGACATGATACTCTACGTTGTGCAATCTATGTGGTGCAATTCGCCCTGCCAGACTTGAAGTTGATAAGTCCATTGCTCGCGCAGTCGTCCCGCCCGCCCACCCGCAACTTGGTTTGCAAAACCCATGCGGCGGCGATTGCAATGACTGCTCGGCGCCGACTGGCGCATCGCTGCGGCCGCGCTTGCGCGCGTGCTCGCGCGCAAAGCGGCCAGCTAGTTTGGCGTGACCGCCGCGGCCGCGGTGGCGCTGACCGCTGGGCATTTCCTATTTCCCAGTGGTCACTTCGGTGCGAATCGGCGACTGGGGCGGGCGCGGTATCATGGCGACGTCGATGTCGGAGGACGCGACGATGATATTAGCGATGCTGATGGCGATGGTGACATCGACGACGGCACGGCCAGTGATGGCGCCAATACTGATTACGCTGGCGACGACGACGGCGTCCTCGTGTCGATGATGAATGTTTCTGGGAGAAGTTGGCATGTTCGCGCGGCCGGCGCGAGAGTTGCCCGCATGTTTTTTTGTTTGTTTTGTTTTTTTGTGCAAATATGTTTTCTTGGCATTCGATGTCGACTTTTCAAAACGAAACTCCATATTTTCAAAGATTGGGCATGCGCGCGCGACGACGCGCGCGTGTGTGTGCACTTTTTTGGCTGTTGCAAGGGATTTTGCGACAGCGCGCGCGCCAGGGCGTTTTTACGATCCCGACATGCCCGCGTGAGATGCCCGCTTGTTACCATGTTATGAGCACGTTGCAAAACATTGTTTATATATATATAGTTTTCATTATATACATGTATATGTATGTATGTATGTATGTATGTATGTATGTATATATATATATATATATCAAACAATATCCCGAATGAACATCGTTTTGGACAGCCCGTGTTTGTATTTTTTGTTTTCATATGTTTCCGGGACATTCGATTTGGAATTCCTTACGAAAATGGGGTTTGTGACGGATTTCGGCATGCTCGCGGGATGACGCCCTCGTGTGCACTTCATCCAACATTTTTGACAACGGGTTTTTGACAACGAGCAGTTTTTGATAAACGAATGTGCGCGCATACTGTTTTTCTGCAGACGATGAGAAAGGGGGGCGGAGCTGGCCTGGGTGGGGTGATATGGATCCATATTTAGGATGGACGATGAGGCAACGTCACACGTACATTGCAGCATGGGAAAGGAGTATTGTTAATTCTGGGGGGGGGGAGGGGGGAGGGCTTGTTTTATTTAAGAAACGAGAATGTATGTCGTGTGGTGTATGGTGTGATGTATATGTATGGTGCAACCGGTGTCGTGCAGCACCTATTATGTTGTCGTGTAAAGGATGTTATGTGGTGTGATGTATGTTGTGCAAGGTATGTTGTGCGGTCGATGTTGTACCAGACATGGTGTGGACCATATGTGGTGCACATCTATGTGGTGCAACCTTTGTGGTCCGATCTATGTTGCGCAATTTTTGTTTTGCAATCGATGTGTTGCATTCTATTTTGTGTAATCGATATATTGCAAACTTTGTGGTGCAATCAATGTCGTGCAATCTATGTGGCGCAATCCTTGTGGTGCAATTAATTTCTGTTCGCAGTGAGTTGTCCACTCCACTGCTCGCGCAAACATCCCACCCACCCACCCGCAACTTGGTTTGCAAAATCTCTTAAGACCGTGACGGTGGGTACCAAATGGCACTTGGCAGCGACAGCGACGCCGATAGACGACAGCGACAACGACGACGACGCCGCCGACAGCGACTACGACGACACCGACGACGTCTCCAACGACTTCGACGACGCCGACAACGACGACGACGACGACGACGACACCGACGACGACGACGCCGACGCCGACGACGACGACGATGACAACGACGACGACGACGCCGACGACGACGACAACGACGACACCGACGACGACGACGACGACGTCAACGACGCCGACGACGACGACGACGACGACGACGGCGGCCACGACGACGACGCCGACGTCGACGACGACGAAGACAACGTCGACGCCGACGCCGAGGACGACGAAGACGACGACGACGCCAACGAAGACAACGACGAGGGAGGAGGAAGGACGGCGACGGCGACAACGACGACAACGACGACAACGACGAGGGAGGAGGGAGGACGGCGACGACGCGAACGACGAAAACGACGAGGGAGGAGGGACGACGACGACGACAACGACGACGACGACGACGACGGCGACGAAATAGGAGGGACGACAACGAGACGCCGACGACGGACCACGACGACGACGAGGGAGGAGGAGGAAGGACGACCACGGCAACAACGACGACGGAAACGACCACGACGCCAAAGACGACGACGATGACGAACACCGGGAAAGACAGAGGACGACGCAGGCGACGACGACGACGAGGGCGACGCGGGAGGAGGGAGGACGGCGACGACGACGACGACGACACCGCAAGAGCGCGCGCGCACGCTTTTGTTGAAAATCCGTGTTGCGAAACCTTGGGTTTTTGTAGGTTTTTTGGACACACGATTTTGAAATCCTTCCGAAACCGATGGGTTTTGAAGGATTTCGGCGCACGCGCGCGACGACGCGCGCGTCTGCACTTCGTTTCATGTTTTTGCAGAGGATTCTCGCGATGGCACACGCGCAAGGGCGTTCGACAGACTTCGACATCCGCGCGCGCGAAACCATTAAAAAATATATATTATAAAAAAGATTTCGCAAGAGCTCGCGCGGAAGCTTTTTTAGCACATCAGTGTTGCGACACCCTGTGTTTTTGTATGTTTTTTGGGAACTCGATTGCGAAATCCTTCTGGCACCGAAGGTTTTTGACGGATTTCGGCATGCGCGCGCGACGACGCGCGCGTGTGCACTTCGTCTTTTTTTTGCCAGGGATTTGCGGAAAAGTGTTATGTTAGAACAAAACAAGTCACCGCATAGTGTTTTTTACAAGGGACCCTCAGGGGGGGGATACCGGTTGGCATTTGACATTGTGATTTCATATTTAGGATGGACATGTGGTCATAATCATAAATGATTTACATGCCCGAAAGGGGGACCGATAACGCCGGGGCGGGTAGATCCTATTCTGTTTTTAGAAAGGAGAATCCACGCGGTGCGATCTCTGCGGCTCAATCTGTTCGAGGCGGCGACGGGGCGGCGACGGAGACAGCATAGCCACCAGACTGACATACAGACGACGGGCGGCAACGGGGCGGCGATGGCGACAACATGGGTGCCAGACCACCACACTGGTCCAGACGACGGGCGGCGACGAAGCGGCGACGGGGCGGCGACGGCGACGACATAGCTGCCAGACCGCCACACCAGACCAGACGACGGGCGACGACGTGGCTGCGACGGCGACAATATAGGTGCCGGACCACTACATCGGCCCAGACGACGGTTGGCGACGAGGCGGCGACTGGGCTGCGACGGCGACTACTTAGCCGCCAGACCGCCATACCGGCCCAGACGACGGGCGGTGACGAGGCGGCGACGGTGCCGCGACGGGGTGGCGACGGCGACAGCATAGCCGCCAAACCGCCACACAAACCCAGCTCCCCAGTCAGAGACAGGAACTCCTATGTCCAAGCGCTGCTTGGGTAATAAAACGAGTATTGTAAGGGAGTGGTGCTATTGGACCCCCCCGCTGTTTGGATGCCCGTGAGATGCCCGCGTGATTCACATCCTTACCTCATAACATTATGATCGCAAGAGACGCTCAAGCTGCCGTTGCTCTTGGACATGCGTATAGGTTCCTCGACGTTGCGAAGCACAAGTGGAGTTTACCCAGGGACATCTGGAATCATGACGAAACTTATGACTTTCATGTGCAAGTGGTTGTAGAAATTGCAATAGTGCGACTTCCCTTGTCGTCCAAATTGGCATCGCCCTTTTTTTCCAGCTGCCACCGCTGCTGCTCCTTCTGCTCTTTCCTGGGAGGTGGGCATTGGCCGCTGCAGTGGTGCCGGCGTGCGATCCGCAGACGCCCCGAACCTTCAGAGCAGCGACGCCTGCGCGCAGGCGTGCAGGACCTTCGATTTGCGTCGTCTGGGCTCGTCATCCTGACAGGGAGGATGGATAGAGGGAGGAGAAGCCACATTCATCGAACACCGGACTGTTCGACTTCACTTCCTCGCCCGATCGCAGGGCCGTCATCGTGGCCTCAAGGGGCCACTTCGAGAAATCCAATCGACCTAGGACCCTACAGCCCATGACATCTCGCTGTCACCGAGATCGGGCACTGCTTGGCCTGCGAGCCGTTCTAAGCGGACGATGACAGCACCATGCCCAAACAAGATCAAACTGCTCCCAAACGCCGATGGTTCTCACCACGGCAGCAGCATTACATGATTGTATTGCCCATGCCAACGGATGGTACCACCCTCGTTTACCATCCTAAATTACATGGTGCTACGAATTGTCGTTTGCAACGCCAAGGTATCGGCCGACGTTATCATAGTCACAGTAAACAAGACGACTAGGACGTCGCCGACCTCTGCGACACCACGCAGCCTGTTGATATCACACAGTCTGCGAGTCAACTGACGACCTTCCGTCCCGATTGTAATCCGCAGCCCAATGGAGTGACTGTAGACCAACCTTGAACAAACATGTGCAAGTGACGTCATACAAACTTTCATTCGCCTTCAACCTGGCACCAGCACCATTGTAAATCCACATCGGAAATTAAGTGCTACAACCAGAAGAGCGAGACGTGGATTATTACGACTCAAACATCGGCACAGGCCACAGCATCGAGCCAGAAAACAGTGCATCCCTCGCATAGCGGCAACAACCTCAACAGCCTTCACCACTTCCACCCGCATTGACATTCGCGACCAGATTGCACTCACAAACCACTTAGTTGCATGCGTATATATAATATGGCAGGCGGTCGTACGACTTCCGCTTGATGTTGACAAGCCAGGAGAATTTTTCCCCAAACACCACCGCATCTGTGCCGATGCATCTATCCGACAATCTAAGCAACTCTGAACACAGATGGGTATAGTGATCTGCGACAGTGACGACCGGTCCATATCAGCCACCACTTGCCGATTTAGAAGGCCGCCAGCACCCCGCATCAACGACGGTCTGGTGCCTTTCTAGGGCCATCGCAGGACTATCAATACTGCCAACCACCCCAGCTGTCATGCACGCTAATTTTCGAATCGTATTACGATTGGTCTTCGATGAAACTATCACGAGGCTGCGTTAGAAGCCGCCTGGTTCCTAAAGTAAACACGCCACAATGCCCAGACGAACTTCCAGCGCATCGTAGCCCGTGCAGGACACCAAAGAAACGGTAAGACCAGCGCTACAGCATAGCTCCGCGATAGTAGTTATATGCATCAGTGACAGGTTGGAATGGCTGCCGGACGCGACACCAGACGACACAGGAGCATACCTAGCATACCGAGAGAGTCTCGGCGGGAGACTCACCATCAGCCAACGCGCAAACACAACACCCAGCCATACGACAGTGGCATACGCAAAACGAAGTTGTCGACAACACTATCATGACATTGGATGTTCTGTCCTCCCGCATACCTTGGAACATGTCGATGTCAAAGAGAAACGTAGCGATGGTTACCACTCTCATGTATGCCGACAGCCTCTACACCGTTGGCCTCCAGGAGACGAACACCGTCAAGGCCTTTTGGACAGCGGAAGGCTTCATTTTGGTCGTCGGCGGCCACACAAGCCGCAACTACGGGTGCGACCAACTCACCGAAAGGAAGGTTCATTTTACGCCCACGATCGAGGGCGGGCGGGGTGGGTAACGGAAGAAGAGGGGTGGTGGGACAATCTCTTTCGGTTTTGGTATTTCCAGGCAGGGGGAGTCCGTGTGTTGGCGCAGAAGTAGAGAGCATCAAGTCAGCAATGCAGTCCCTGAGGCCATTCGCAGCGGGGGACGCGTCCAAACGATGCTGATGGCTAGCTACTGCGGCCGGTAACTGTTGAGAAGAGGTCACTTGAGCAATCTTCACGGGTCAGGAACAAGGGTAGTGAAGAGTATCACGCTCAGTTCTCCCCCCCTTCAGGGTGAAAGGGTGCCCCGTCTTGGGCCTACGTCTTCGAGCGGCCGTATACAGGATGCCACCATGCGGCCGACAGGGAGGCCAATAGTCTTGGATTGCAGAGGGCCTTGCAAAGTGCTAGTGGCGGTTAAGTCCTTGGCGAAGGATGTAGTGGCCCGCGGCCTGTCCCGATCCCGTGCTGCAGTTGTGGACCAGATGCTTCGCGGAGTTCTCCCAGGCCACCACCTCTTTGCGGTTCGGCCCAATCCCACTTCGGAGTACGGACGCGAGTCTCGTACGGCCACACTTTTTCGAGCGCATCCGTCTGCGCGAAGCTGCGCGGAGCAGTGCAACCAGCCCAGTGGGCGGCGAGAGTAGCAAGGGTTAGTGCCTCTGACCCTGCCGCTGGGTGAGTCGTGTTACGTGACTGGTCCGCCTCTCGGCGTGCTTCTTCTTCTTCTTCTTCTCCTCCTCCTCCTCCTCCTCATCCTCCTCCTCCTTTTTCTCCTTCTTTTTCTTCTTCTTTGGGGGCTCCCCGGGGGCCTCTTGAGGCCTCCTGGAGTCCTCCTGGGGGCCTCCTCCAGACTTGCTGCTCCTCGGGGGGCCTCCGAGACGGCCCCCCGAGGCTCCCCTGGCAGGGGCCTCCGGGACGGCCCCCCGCTCCCCCCGTCGGATAGCTTGTGGGCGTGCTTGCGCGCTTCGCCCTCCGAGCCACGCCGCCCGTCGGGCCGGGGCCAGGGGGGAGGGCAGGCCAGGGGGGGGCCTCCCCCCTTCAGGGGGTGCCCGCCTCCAGGCGCGCCGCCTGTTTCGACGCGTGGCCTTGCGTCTTGGGGAGGGCGTCTGGGCCACCAGGGCAGACGCCGCCTCGGACGCGGTGGACTCGCCGTGCATGGGGCTTGCCGCAGTGCCGGCTTCGTCCACCTGGTGCGCGGGACGCAGGGTTTGCCGCGTGTCTGCTGTGGTGTCGGCGTCGTCCACTTGGGGTGCGTCGAGAAGACGCTGCGCGGCGACGCAAGCCAGATTCTCGAGGCCACGGCCTCACCCACCTGGTCTGAGCTAGGCCCGGACACTGTCCCCAACGGTGATCGCATCGCACCGCGTCCTCCCTCAGTGATCCCCCCCCACCCTCTGGGGGCTCCCTCACCCCGTGGCGAGGAAGGGATCAGAGGGCAGGGGCTTCCCTTCATCCACGACAGACGTGCCAGAACTGGAGAGCTGGCTCGGGAACAGGATGTGCGAGGGGTGTGTGCGCTTAAGTGGGGTATCCAGCCTCGGCTCAGCTCCGCTGGCTCTTGGGAAGCAAGCAGACGGCGACGAACGCGCAGGCGGGAAGCTGGGACCTGCGGGACAGGGCATGGGAGGCGTCTCGTTCATGGGACGGTTTCGACAGAAAGGCGGGGAACACCCCTAGTATGATGAGGAGCAACTGGACACGCTGGCAGGGTCGGCAGATCTGCAAGCCCGTCGGAACGGGTCCCTGACGGCTTCAGCGCGTCTTCACCAGCAGACCAGGAACATCATGTGTGACGCTCTGGACAGGGCCGCGGAAGTCAAAAAGGGCGCACCTGCCAGCGAAAGCTGGCGTAAGTGAGGAAGTAACACATGTGCCCTCAACAGATGCACATTTTTTGGATTTCAGGGCTTTCGAGAATCGCCCATGTGAAATACGTGGACCTCCCTCGAAGTAACAAGTCAGAGAAACCAGCCTGCGTCAAGAGTTCGAATGGCGATTGATGGTCTTGTAATGGCTCTGGCTGCTTGCCGCCACCAGCTCGTACCCAGGACTAGCCCCAGTAGCCCTGGCTGCTGCCACAACTTCCCTGCACGGGCGAAATTCTTTTCCCTCCACCAGAACCCTTCAGAACCTGCCAGAACGCCCCAAAACGTCCCGAACCGCCGAGAAACGCCCGAACATCTCGATCTTCGCCTGTCGACGACGACGACGACGACGGCGAAACCGACGACGAAAGTGTCAATCATTTTTTGCCCCGGCCCCGGCGGTTGCCACCAGCCCTCAGCGGTGCCAGCGCTGGTTCCCGCCGCTGGCCCGTGCTTGTGTCCAACGGCCTCCAGAGGCCTCCGGGGATTCTGGAGACCTCTGGGGACTTCCAGGGATGTTCGGAGACCTCTGGTTGCGTGTTGCTGGAAGTGGCCCTGGCCCAGTGTACGGCCAGGATTTCTACGGAGGCCCTTACGGCCTCCAGAGCACCTTTCACGAGGCCCAGAGGGCCCCTGGGGCTCCAAAATGGACCGAAAAACTGGGCACTTTCAGCAGCCCCCGATCTGGAGGAGACATCGCCAGGAAGAAACCGAGTTCGGATCGACAGGGGCCTCGAGATTTGTTGCCCGCCGCCGTTCTCGGGCTCTTCTTGGGCCTGGCTTCCACCACCACAACCACCATAAGTTGGATGGGGAAGGAGGAGGAGGAGGAGGACGAAAATGATGATGATAATAATGATGATGATGATGATGATGATGATGATGATGATGATGATGATGATGATGATGATGATGATGATGATGATGATGGTGATGATGATGATGATGATGATGATGATGATGATGATGATGATGATGATGATGATGATGATGATGAGGAGGAGGAGGAGGAGGAGGATGATGCTGATGATGATGATGATGAGGAGGAGGAGGAGGAGGAGGAGGATGATCATGCTGATGATGATGATGATGATGATGATGATGATGAGGAGGAGGAGGAGGAGGAGGAGGAGGAGGAGGAGGAGGAGGAGGAGGATGATGAGGAGGAGGAGGAGGAGGAGGAGGAGGAGAAGAAGGAGGAGGAGGAGGAGGAGGAGGAGGACCCCCTTCTCCTCCAACGTATGGTGGTGGTGGTGGTGGTGGTGGAAAACTGGTCCATCACCTTGCTGGGGCCCCCCGGCCCACACGGGTGGCCCAAAA